GGGGGGGGGGGGGGGGGGGGGGAGTCACATAAATTACTTGAAACTGGTTTGCTGTGATAAAGAAAATCACTTTATACTTCACATAGCTGTAAATTATATCCAAAAACTGGACTCTACACAAGACGTAAGATTGGACTCTACACAAGGGAATACAGCCACTGTTTGTTACGTTCAGTATACAAGGGAAACCAGCCACTATTTGTTACAGTCAGTATACAAGGGAATACAGCCACTGTTTGTTACGTTCAGTACACAAGGGAATACAGCCACTATTTGTTACGTTCAGTATACAAGGGAATACAGCCACTGTTTGTTACAGTCAATATACAAGGGAATACAGCCATTGTTTGTTACGTTCCGTATACAAGGTAATACAGCCACTGTTTGTTACGTTCAGTATACAAGGGAATACAGCCACTATTTGTTACGTTCAGTATACAAGGGAAGACAGCCACTATTTGTTACGTTCCGTATACAAGGGAAGACAGCCACTATTTGTTACGTTCCGTATACAAGGGAAGACAGCCACTATTTATTACGTTCAGTTCACAAGGGAATACAGTCACTATTTATTACATTCAGTATACAAGGGTAGACAGCCACTGTTTATTGGGTTCAATACAGAAGCATCAATTTTTTCACAAACAAATTTAACCTTCCATGTATGTTACAAGTCCTCACTATAACCTTAGACACTACATTATAAATTTAACAGCAATATTTCTTAAAACCTCTTTAACTCCACAAGAATCAAGTTATGTAAACAAACCAGCTTATAACCTGAAATTCTATCTCTAATAACATTTTTTAAATTATCATCACAATGCTGATTTTACAGCATTAATTGGAAATGATAACGTAAGTTTGCCATAGTTTCGTTGCTGAATGAATATATAGACAAGAATTTATATTTACCTTCTTACTTCTTCATCTGGAGAAGAAATTGTGATATTTGGCACTTCTTGGGGCTGATTACTAGGCTTAGCTGGAGGTTTTCTGACAAAACCAAGATTTGATGATTTTCCACTTGTAAAAGCTTTACTTTGAGGTGTCTCAAAAGAGGCTGTAAAAGACTTTAAAGTCTTCTTTGAATTTCTGTCTGACAATGTTCTTGAGGACTCTGTAACTATTCTTCTGGCTTTTTCAAGATCTGAATGGGAGCAATTTCTTTCTATGGAAGCATTAGATCTACATGTAGGTGACTGTCCCCCATTCTCTAGTTTGGTATTAGATGTTAATGTGCAACTTGGAAGAGATGTGTTGAGAATTATTCTTTTAGTTGGTAACAGACAAGCACTCTTTTGATTTATTCTGCTATTGGAATGAAAATAGGAGCTTTGCATTTCTTGTAGAGGTGAATTTTGATTGTTGGATAACCTTAACATTGACTGTTGATTAGGTGATGAATTGTGTGACGTATGCTGATTGGTTGATGAATTGTGTGACGTATGCTGATTGGTTGATGAATTGTGTGACGTATGCTGATTGGTTGATGATTTTTGTGACGTATACTGATTGGTTGATGATTTTTGTGACTTATGCTGATTAGTTTGTGAATTTAGAGATGAATGCTGATATGTAAATGTATTTGATGATTGAAGTTGATTAACTGATACATTACATGAAAGATGCTGATTGTTGGATGGACAGTTATTGGTTGCTGAATTCAGTGATGACCAGAATGAAAGCAATGACTTCATTTCAGCAGATCGGTTTATTCCTCTCAGTGCTGTTTCCTTCTGTGAAGTAAAGGAGCCTTTTCTTCTGTTTGTCAGATTTCCTGGAGAGCTGTAAATGTTGCTACCACGTCTCTGGTCCAGAAAACTAATATGTAAAGAATGTTTTTTGTCCACTGAAATGTTTTGGCTTTTATTGTCTGGAGCAGAGTTTGAAGAAGGTTTGAAAGAAGGAACAAGGGAAGAACATTCAGGTACTGTACTCTGGTCAGAAGTCAGTTGATTACCCGAGACCAATTTCTTGGTGTTTATAAAATAATTCAGATTGTTGTTGTGTGGAGAATCCTTATTAAAATCCCCTTTGTTGCATAAAGCATTTTGGTTGATTAGCAAAGGGTGATCTCTTTTAGAATTATTCATTTCGTCAACTGTAAGCTTTTCTTTAGAGGTTGAGAAAACAATTTTTGGAATTATTTTCACAGTTTTTAAACGTTTGTTTTCTGAATTACTTTGATTTTTGCAAGAATTCTGATCTTTATTCTTTCCAGGGCTATGAAAAGTATCATTTTCTTTGGAACTGGTGTTTGCAGATAATACACATGGAGAACAGGTGTTACTAAGCTGATCTTCAACATTCCTGTCCCAGGCTTTAAAAGCACTGCCTACAAAAGATTCGGAATATTTTCGGTGTTTTTCTATTTCTCTTGGAACATTAAGGAGTTTTTTACGACTGTTGGAATGGGAAGAGAAATCTAACGAGAAACACCTTGAACGATTTGGATGATCTGGAAGACCAGGCTGACTTTCTGAAAAACCATCATCTACCAAAGAATTCTTTTCATCATTATTCCTCACAGAGAAGGTGAAAAGGTCATCCTGACTATCAAACACTGTGCTGGTTCTCTGGCTGCTCACATTGTACAAATTAGAAATCTCCGTATCAATGGGTAACCCAAATCTGAAAATGAAAAGCATTTGTAGATGCAAACTCCAAAAATATAAGAGATGTACCACATTCAAAAACATTTAATGAAGAACATTTCAAGGTCTGGTATCTAACACAATAAAGTATCTTTTACTAATAATCTATTAGAATAGATACTAATAGTATCTTTTATTGACAATCCATTAGAATGGATACTAATAGTATCTTTTATTGAGAATCCATTAGAATGGATACTAATAGTATCTTTTATTGAGAATCCATTAGAATGGATACTAACAGTATCTTTTATTGAGAATCCATTAGAATGGATACTAACAGTATCTTTTATTGAGAATCCATTAGAATGGATACTAACAGTATCTTTTATTGAGAATCCA